TAATATACGGATACTCTGCTCAATTAATTCATAGTTAAAAAATATGTAAAGGGTAAGAGTTATAAGCTGTATTTTAACAACTCTGTTATTCACTGACTTCAAAAAAAGCTGTTGAACTTGGCAGAACACATATTTTTACGTGGAAAGTTTGCAGATAATTGAATATAATTAATGCGAAGCAAAGGGGTTTACCAAAAGCACTTAAATCGTATAATATTTACTTAAAAAAGGTTGTATTCTTTTAAAAGGTAATATCACACATTTGTCAAACAAACTCAACATTTCGGTCTTAAATTAAAGACAATTCTCGCTTATTTTTGGTTGATTTTTTGGCACTTGTTCGTTTAAATCTCAGTACCAAGTACCGAACATGATCATGCTGTTAAGATCGCCATCGCGGGCACTTAAATCGAACGTGCCGTTAACTAATCACCCATTTAAACTCAACTCCGACTCTGACTCCGGCAAACTTGAACTTGCAATGAGTGTTAAAACAAATAAAGAGGCTATGTAAAATAAAAAAAAATAAACTAAAACTGTGACAAAGACGGAGACAAATTCCTCTGCCATTCAAGTGGAGCGACGTCTGCCACCGCGGTGGCTATTTTGAATACTTTTAATGTCCGTCGTGGCCTTTTCCGCAAAATGCTGGTAATTATAATTATAAGCAATATAAATTAAAATTTTTGTTTGCCCAAAAACGAGCAACGACAGCAAGTTGCCGGACAACATGTGTCGACGCATTGTCAAAATATAAAACATAGTTTATGTTTCACAACATCTGCAATTAAGTCGTTCTTGCCGACTGCAACCTTCGTGGCTATTAGATTAAGGTCTTTTGGGGCCAAATAACTGCAGTGGCATCCTTGGCCGGTAACCGTACTAACTGACTCTGACTGTGTGTGTCATTTGTAAGCCGTGCGAATTCCGGACTCCACGCAGTTTGCCAAGCACTTGAGGATCACATTGAGTGCTTACAGGTTTGACCCTAAATTCGCATTGAACTGCGGCTAGAACTTCCTTTGTTGTGGCGGCAAAATGTGCCACAAAAGAGGGAGCTTCCGAGTTCCGGTCATGCTATTTAGTGTGCTGAAATCTAAAGTAAGCAAGGCGCTGTCATCAATCACCATCGCTCAGTGACTCAAACGCAAACACAGCAAAAATATTGACTTGTAAACTATATATTCTGCAAGTATATAAAATCTTAATCTTACTGAATTACGAAACGTTCTTGCTTAGATCTGTTTCGCTTAATTCACTTCCTAACATATTAAATATTACTATTAATAGTTCGAGAAAGTTATGATCTAAATTAACTACCATATGTCCTTCAGCATTGCTCATAGTATTTTATGACAAGTTCTTGACATCAGGTTTCTAATTAAAGACTTCTGTAGTTCCCGTCCCGGGTGAGATAAACAAAAGTTAATATCTGTTTACGAGTATTTATACAAGTAGTTATTACGTCAGTATGCGTACTAATACAGCTCGCTGATCAACAACGATTTGCTTTAGTTAAAACGGTCTGGAACCTGAGCGGGGAATTAATAGTCAAGCCCCGCCGATAAGGTACTTAGTGTTAGACGCATAAAACAATTGCGCCGTGGGAAAATTTTCCAGTACGGTTTATAGCTTGGCTTTTTAGGGAGTTGGGGAGTTTTCACAACTCTTGAACTCTTTGCCTTCAAGGTGGATAATTCGGGGTTTATTATTTGTAATTGATAAAGCATGCTTTTGAATGGGATCAGACATTTGCAATTAGCCTTGGTTTTATCGTAAAGCACTGGGGAAAAATATGAAAAAATATATATAATATAAATATATAAAATTGTACCTAAAAATATTACTTTTCATTCAGCGAGTACTTTTTAAATATTTTATTTATTTTAAAATACACAAATTAATTCTCGAAATTTGCAAATTATTCAATAAACCCTTTACAGTGGACTTAAAAAAATTTAAGAGTAAAAGGCACTTCTTTCCAGGCCGTCGCTTCGCATATCCTCAGCCAAAAAAACCCCAAAAGTCGGAAATACTAAAAGGAAGCAATAAAGAGTCAGCCAAGTTCACTTAACTAGAACCACACAAGTCACAAGGCGATAAAAAGGAGGCGAGAAAATAAAGTACAATAAGTAAAAAGGTGGCCCAAAGTACGGCCAGTGACTCAGCATAAAAGCGAAGAATAAATGTAAGATATATATGTACAACAATCCCCCAAAAACAGCCGGAGAGAAAGGAAAACCCAACACGCTGGCCAAACTCACCATCAAAGCAGTTAAAGTTTTAGGCTAAAGCTAAATTGCCAAATTTCTGGTCTAAACGGAGCGAGGATTGCAGCACCTGGTTGTAGCACTCGTATTCACAGATACACAGCTACACAGGTACACAGATACTCAGATACTTGGCGGCAAGATCGGCTCAGTTTTAAAAGCGCTCGTACTTAGTCGGCGATCGCTGCCGACGTCGCTGCCGCCTAAAGCCCGGGGTTTTTACACAAAAACGTCTTGCCCAGACGACGGTCCATTATGCGAGTTTTTCACTCCGACGCGTCAACTTCGAAACGAACGACACATGCTCTCTCGGCAGCATCGGGCGCGATCGCAGCTAAATTCCCCACTAAATGCACCTCAATTCGGTTAAGTTCATTTTTGGCCACAATTCGATGGATATCGCGACTATGAGTTCTTAATTGAGTTAAGCGCAAAGGAAAACCCATCCTAATTGGCATCAAATTCAATTAGTCGGTCGGCAGTGAATATGCAAAGAGTTTAGAGACAAGAAATACTCCCCGAAATATTCCCTCTCGCCAGTGAAAGCGAAAGCCTAACTTTTGGATTAGCCGTGCAGCCTTCTGTAAGAATAATTGCAAACGTAAGTGTCAAACGGGGCGTATACGTGATTTCTTTGCCAACGGGGCGTATGTGCTACATTCTGTGTAGGAAATTAATAATAAATAATATCAAAGTGCGCGGTTTTATTAATTACAATATATTTCATGTCAAGTTAGGAATTTTTGATTAATGTGTTGCCATTAAAGGTTTTGTGGTTCAACTGTAATGTTTTCATTAAGTGCGGGTTTATTAATTGTTGGCCATTTGTTGAAATTTGAAAGAATTCAAAAATGTTAATAACTAACTTTAAATTAAAAAAAATTAAATATTATAATTACGAAGAAATGTTTAAATTGTTTTAATTTAACAGTTTTCTCAATTAATTAATATATAAAATACCGATCATTTCGATAGTATATAAATAAAAGTATATGATTGAAATATATAAATATTTCAAGTGTACAAATTAAATTTAAAAATCTTGTAATTAAAGAAATCAATAAAACCAATCCGTAAATAATAAGTGTTATCTTACAATTATATTTATAATCAAAACAGACTACTTTCAGATTATATAATTCTATAAATCAACAAGCTAAATTTGTTTCGTTGTTGTTGTTATAATTCGTTTATTCCTTTGACTGTTCAATTTAATCGAATAGGCCAGCCATCGCCCCGCACCTTTTCAATCAAAATCTGTGGTTCAATGTGCGCATTTTTTAATTGGATTATACATATTAACGGAGCTGTAAAAACCTCATTTTATTCCCCGGACAACAGCGAATCAATTAAACTGATTACAAATGCCAAATGCCAGTGTTATCAGAGGGCGGCGGCAGGTACAGAAAACACTGTCACTATACCCAAAGATCGCAAAGCCTAATCAGAGAAGCCCTTGCCCAACGACAAAGCTCTTAGCTTTGTGTTTGCTTTAATTTATAAACAGTTTTTCGGTTTCGGTTTCGGTTTCGCTTGGGGTTTTCTTGGCTCTTTTTCTGTTTTGTTTTTATTTTGTTTCTTAGTTTTTTGCAGTCTGCAATTAAGTGTAAACATTTGCAAGTTATGCAAAATAACGGCAATGCGGTGGTTATGAGCGGTCATTTCTTGAGTTTGAGTGTGTGCATGTGTGTGTGTTTGTCTCTTGGCCAAATGCATATTTTGGAGTCTGTCGATCTGTTTTCGGCAGGGGATTTCGCAAATATGCAACCACAGACACGTACCAAAGTCCGGTAATGATGCGTTATTCCCCCTCCGCCTCTGCATTCAGTTTGACCCACTTGTATAGAGACACTCATAGACATAGAGAGTTCAGGTCAATGTTAAGGTGAAATGCGATTAGCAACAAAGGTGACCTTTAAATCGATGGATATTTCTGGATAAAGCTATTGATTTATATGCGAGTTCCTTGCCAAATAGTTTATGACCCCTCGCTGGAGACAGAAAGTTAAGGGAGACCACAAAGTAAATACAAGTTATAAAATTGGGAAATTTGTTGTGTGAAATGGTGTGAAATTTTAGGGTCAGTCACAAGCATACGTAGAATTGGAAATGCCAAGTAAATGACTAAGCTGTGAACGTTTTTTATGACGTCTTTGCAATGACCCCAAAAAAGGGAAGAAATTGGTAACAACTTTGAAGGTTTTAATAGGGAGAAATAAGGATTTCGTATAGGCTATGCTAAAATATGTAAATAAACACGTCATATAAAATGCTAGCCTTAAAAAGTCTTTATTTAATTGGATTAATATTATTCTATAATGAAATACATAATAAATCATTAAATTTAATCAATTGCATTAAGAAAGATGGAAGGTATGAGCCAAATACACTATTTTAGGTCTTGCACATTCTTTATTTTATTTTAAGTCCTATTTAATCACGCCACTTCTTCGCTTAACCCCAAAATCAGTTTCACTTTCAAGCCTCAACCGCAGACAACAATTAAGGCGAAATTTCCAAAGGTGTCGGCGCCGCCTTCTACACTACTTAGCCAGTCACTCATCCCAGCCACCCGCCCATCCATCTGCTCATCCATCTGCCATCCATCTGCCTATCCATCCGCCCACCAATTGGCCAGGCTTGAGCATGGACACAGAAGTTGTCTTAAATTAACCGAAAGCAAAAGAAAAAACAGAGACCTTTAAGAGCAATAGACGTCACACAAAGGCTACAAAGTGATCGCTTTGTTGCTTTGGCGTTTTCCTAACCGTTAAATTGAAATATTGACTTAAGTTTTTTGATGTGTGCATTTTGTTGTCGCCTTTTTTTATTTTTAATGCTGTATTTTTTGTTGTTGTCTCTGATTCATTTTTGGCAGAGGCCCGGAGCAAGCACACTTGCTAATAACCGAGCATACAATACGCTTACATAATGAGCGAGCAACGCTCTTTAATAACCAAATAGCCGATTGGCCCCTGATAAGCGCAAGAAATTGGCAATTGCCGTTTGCCGGCTTAAAGTGCGAGAAATCCATCAATCGCCGAATATTGGCCGCAGGCGAGACAGGCGAAAATATAGCCATATAGTTATGGCACGGTGACTTAGGTCAGGATTGAAGTTTGCCGGCCCCATGGCCCACCCGCAGGCACACTTGGGGAAAAAATATTGACATAACCTGTGAGTTAGAGAATATTTCTTTAAATTAAATATATATTTAGAGCCTTAGTAAATCAAATGTATATATTATATGACTTTTACTTTATATTTAAATCAAAATAAGGCATCGAAACTAAGCTTAAAATATTTAAATTTTTTGCATGAATTTGTTTGACAAGTTAAAATTTAAAAACTCATAACTACCTTGCTAGGGTTTTATAACAAGCCCATGATTTTTGGCTGGATCTTTGGTAAATTTTTTCATGTGCAGACACACGATGACCTTGCCGGCTCAATTTCTCTGACATGCCGATCAGACCCTTCTCAAAATCGGCGGAATTTAAACACAATGCAAGTGAAGTGCGTGTTCGAAAAGGGTTTTTTTCTTTGGTTGGAAATTCTCGGACGTAATTGGAGCATTTCGCGAATGGTTTCGCCAAATCAAAAAAGAAAAATAATGCCGAAAATGGCCCATAAAATGTGCCCAAAAATAGATGGCGAGAGAGTGAGTTCGTATAAATTACAACACTCAACGCAGCCTGCTGACGAGTATTGGAAAATGTTTGCCAATAATGTTGCCGTTGATGGAGCGACCGGCCACGCTTCAGCGATTGGCCACGGCTTTTGGCCAAGTCTGTGACTGAAACTGCAACTGCCACAAGAGTCCATGACGTTCGCAATAATCTTGTTAATGTTTTTAAGCCGCTCTCAGCTCTCAGCTTGAACAGGCGCGTGTTAAATGCCGAAGCAAATAGTCGAGTGAAGTTGAAGATGAGAGCTTAATGGGAGTATGAACTGAGAGCAACAAATTGACAAGAGCTATTATTAATGGGGCTTCTGGAAATAATAACAATTTCATTTGGTTTCATTTCATTTTGATATATATCATTTTAATGGAAATTAAACAAATGTCTTGGCTTTGTTTTTCTGAGAAATGAGAAAATCAAAAATGTGTTTGAACTTTGGGCTTTAAAAGTGTTTAAAGAGTTAATTTCCTTTAAACGATTCTTAATTCCCTCGAGGTAAATGACCTTAATAACTAAATTTTCTACTAAGACAATGGCAATGTTCTCTTCATTAAAGTCTGTTAACAAATACTCCCAAAAACCTTTGCCTTACTCAGAATTTATTCCTGCTCCATTCTCACTGCATACAATATCAAGTTCGTTGCCTAAGTCTTTCGTTTTAAAATTTTCACTCTGAACTTGCTACATTTAATTTTCAATTTCTAAAACAACAATAATTATAATTATTATTACATCAAGTTGAATGTGAATGTTGCATTACTTAATGCCATTTAAATTGTTTACATGGCTGCAGTTACTACCATTTAAGAATGATTTGCTGCGCTTGGCCTGGCGAGGTGAGCTATGAATGAACACATGTAAATATGTCTGAAAGCTTTCGCTGAAAACAAAACACAATGTACATATATATATTTATATGGCATAAGAAGAGCTCATATACGGGCTAAGGAAAGTGTGGTGCTGCCAAGCGGAAAACTCATGTAGCAAATAATAATAATAAATAAGTATTTATTTTAACTTGATTTTAATGGAACAGTTTACTCTGTATGATTCCCTTCGATTTTTGTTCTATTTTTAGTACACTAAAACTTTATTTATTTCCGTGTAGTGATGGGGGCAAAACCAAATAAATGCCCTGCCCCGTAGTTCAGGCTGCAATTAGAGCTAAATGAGCGACCAACCACTTCTGGGTTCGATTACGGAAACTTCCGTATAGATTTTTATGTTTATCTCAATGTCAACAGCAGTGGCGAGATGAACGAACCCTTTGGGATGTGATATCGGAAACCGAAAAATGGACTGCCTGCGCAGTTTCAATAATTGCATACAATTTGCCAATCAACGCGTTCCCAACAATGCCAATTATGAAAGGCCAGGCCCTTTCGAGGGCTCAGCTCTTTTGGTTCCTCCACTTGGCCATGGCTTATGAAGCCATTCAAGAGCGCTCTCTGTAATCAGGCGGTGCAGCACAAGGAAGCGCTGATGATTCCCCCAAAAAATTGATATTTTATATATGTAATAAATACGAATGGAGAAATAACAAAAATAACTATAAAATTATAAAGCGTTGGCTGCCAACAAAATTAAGCAGAAATTTATTAAAAATGCATAAAACAGGCCGAAAATCTCGCACTCTCGCACCAAACTGGATCTGGGGATAAATACAAGAGCCTGCAAAGAGAAAAGTGGCGCGTGACCTTCGCACTACTGCAGACTGCAGACTGCAGACGGCAACCTGAAACTGCTGTGTGAAATTATTATTAAATCAGCAACAGCAGCAGCAGCAGCAGCAGCAGCAGAAACAGCAGCAACTGCAGTGCCAAGAAACCAAAACAAACAACTGCCGAGAGGAGACTGAGAAGCGGAGACAAACAGGCGGAGAAGCAGGCACTGGAACTTCAGTGGCTGGTTGTTGGCTACTGTTTGGCAAGAGGCAACATGACTCAAGGAAAGCAGCGAACTTGAGATGCACTCAACATGGTAGTTGAGGGGGAAAAATATATATCTTTTGTAATATTTATACAGATGTGTAGCGGCAAAACCCAGGAGGCACCATACCTGAGAGGTTATTAAATCAAAATCATTCGCTTTTATTTAATTTTAAAATATATTATTCGGTTTTTTGGCAGGTGTCTGCCTTGGATGATTAATGGAACTCTTTAAATATTATATTTTATACTTAAGGAAGGGAAAATAAGCAATTCAATAAGAATAGTGTTTTATTTAATTATTTTTTTATTAATTTTGAGAAATACTGAACCACATTCAAATAAATATTCCCAGCCATTGCCAAAGCTTTGCCTAATCTTATTAACCATTAAACTCACATCTTATATGTTATGTTGGTTTTCCCGAAACTGATATCAACCCGGGAAAATTGATCACAAATCGGGCCAATATAGTCTAGGCGCCAAAGAAGGCGCACCTCTTGACTCACACTTAGAAATGCACGCGAGCAACATGCAACATCCACAGCGGCAACGGCAACAGCAACTGCAGCAACATTTCGGCAAATGCCAACGAACGCTGCCTTATTTTTGTATTTCTCGAATTCAGGCAGACAGAGCGGCTAACTTTAGTGGCTCAGTATCTTGGTGGCCTGCTGGCCAAGCAACCTACTTCTGCTAATGCACAGAGACAAATATTATATTGAATTAAAGCTGAGAATGACACGAGAACATAAAGTATGATAATATCAGAATACCTCTGCATTTAATTTGGATACTCATGAACTTTTCAGTACTTTAAAATTTTGATTGAACTTCTTGAGATTATGAAAGAAAGGAACTACCTTTTTTGCCATGTGCAAAGTGCAATTGAAAGTGAGTCTGAAGCCCAGTCTCTTGGCTAGACCTGGAGCTGGTGCTGGAATCGGGTTGGGTATCGTCGCCGCCGTCGTCGTCGTCGTCGTCGTGGTCAGCTGTTAGAAAGCTTCGCTGGACAGCGGCACAGTGGCATGTGGCAATTGCAACACATCCAGTTGCCATATATACTGGATGTGGATGTGGATATCGATGTGGTTATAAAACCGTATTTAGGTCAATCAAATTTTCGCATTTGGCATTTTGAAATTTCTTTACGCAAATGCTTGTGCTATTTTTTAATGATTTTCTAACCATACCAATCCAGTCTAGTGTTGCTCTCTCGGATTGCATAATAAGCCAAAGAAGCCAGTCAGCTAGCCGGCCAGACAGCCAGCCGGCTAGCCAGGTGACCAGGCTGTGGCCAATAAGCACAAAAATTGTAAATTGTATTGTAAAATTGTTTCACTTTTTAATTTTTTTCCCTCGAAGTATATTTTTTGTGGGGACTTCTTAATGGATCGGCGCTGGCCATTGGGGCGTGTGCTTTCAGGGGTAAATTAGTGGGGAAGTGGTCAATGGGCAGCCTCAGAAGATAATAATAAATAATACCGACTTCCGACTGTTGAACTTCGAATGAAGTCGTTAAGTCCCGGAGCCTTGCCTCGTCGATTGTGATTCCTGTTTCCGCATCCTTTCCCTTTCCATACCCTTGAGAGCAGTTCTTTTTGGGCTTTTTTTGTTAAGGCAAATTAAATGCGGCCTTAATTATTTTATGCTCATTAAGCGTACAGCTAAATATTTACCCTGCAAAATGCCACAAATTAAGGCAGCAGAGTCTTGGCCCAAAGCGGTTTACAATCTGGCTGCAATTAAAACTAAAAGATACGCAGCAGAGACCAGCGACAACAACAGCAATACACAAAAACAAAGTACTCAAAATATAAATGTCATTAATTGTGTTTAAATATTTTTTTCTTTCTTTTTTCTTCTTGTTTTTGTTTTCTTTACACAATTTTGTTCATAAACCAAAATCGCTCAATTGTGACAGCAGCGACGAATAGGTTTAACTAACATTATTTCAGTTATGTCAGAAGTCAATTAAATATAATTTGCCCTCAGTTAAGATGCGGCTTAAATGGAGATCTTGGTAAGCTCTCAGCTATGAGCTCACACGGAGAGCGACAAAAATAGAGCTCAGCTTAATGAAAGTCCACTCCAAGCATAGGTCCAAGTATGCAAAGTTCGTTGCCTGAGTCATTTGTTTTTCGCCACTGGACTTCCCATGGAAAGTTTTACTATTAATTTTCCGTTGTGACTTTATGGCAAGCGACATTCTTCTTAAATCATTTAATTTAGAGACTGATATGTAAATGTATTCATCGATCTAAATCAAGAGTTCTAACTAAAATTTTTATGTTCTTTATTTTATTAAAAACCAAAACTGTACAACTTCTTTTAATTCTTGTCAAATTCTTCACAAATCATTGCAACCATATAATTATCACATTTACTTCATTCTATTCATGGCGACTTTAATTAAAACCACATTTTGCACTATAAAAATCTAAAGATTGATTTTATAGCACACGTGCATTGATATGTGTTCGATTCCGCCTTTAGTTCATCAGAACTCTGCGCTCTTCACGTTTTCCTGGACCGCCTGAAAATTTCCATTTTAAAAACTGCATTTTCAATTAGTTAGCAAATGAAACTGTGCCGGGCAACCGGACAGCATCAGCAGCCACCAATTAGCATACTGTTGTCTGTGGCTTCAGGTAACGACCTGCCAACGTAGAGGGTTCCCCGTGCAATCACGTACCCACCGACCGAGTGACAAATGTATTTACAGCTCTCGGCGCGGCTAATAAAAACATATGTGATTATATTGTTGAAATGAAATTTATGGCACGATTTATTGCGGTTTTTGTGGGGCTAATCTGCCGAAATCTTACCAGGAGTGTGCCAAGGCCTTTAGTTCCTGTTGGTGTTAGCACAATGTTATGAAGAACCTCTTCACTGAGATTAGACACTGACCTCAGGAAGTGCTTGGCAGACACGGTAGACATTAAATTCGATTTTAATTGCTTTCCATAAATATCCCCGCATCGCGGTTTGTTTACTATATTGAACTAATCCACCTCAAACAAGCTTTAATTTCAAGCAGTTTTTTTCCTACACAGAGCTAAAAGTATATTAATTTAATTAAATATCAAATTAGAATAATAAATATTGTAAATATTTAATAATTTGAATATTCCAATTATAGATTAATCAGTAATCAGATTTATATTACCTTTTTATTATGATTTTGTGCTGATTAAACCGCTTTGGATTTTTAATTCAATTAGTTTTTATTATGGTGTTTTCTTATTAATGGAAACTTACATATTTATATAATTTACGACCTCTAAAACAAGATAGCTCTATAGAAAACTAAGCAATATTTATATTATCTGCGCAATTAAATAATTAATCAATAATGACTTATTTAATTAATTATTTATGTACATATTTACTTACGAATTGAGAGCAATTTAATTTAAATTTATTATATTTTTTTCTTTATCTGTACCTTCTCCCGTTAGACTTGAATTATGGGCTTGGAAAAACATTACCTGCGATATGGACGCACCGCTAGAGATCACATCCTTGACTGGGCCACCTGTGGGCGTAATCGACGGCAGCAGCAACATCAACAGCAGCATCAACAACTCCAACAGCAACCGCAGCAGCATCAGCATCAGCATCAGCATCAGCAGCAGCAGCAACAACTGCCATCACAGGGAACCCCAACAGCTACAACTGCCACGGGGCGGAGGTCTCGCCCTCATGTGACACACAGGGGTACGCCGCTCTCCATGCTGATATCTCATGGAGTTAGGATTAGCAATAGTAAGTACAGTCCACTTAATTATATGTATAAACCTAAAAACATGCCAGTCATTCGTATGAATAAGGTGAGCTATAAACAAGACACGGAATTAAAAGTTAGAACAGCTAGAAAACAATTAGTGGAATAATTTAGCATGAAGCAAAACAACTGTAATGGATTTATGGAAATTTTTTGGAAAAATTAGGAATTCTTTATAGAAATTCTTGAAATTAAATGTCAACAAGTTGAACCTAATGGGAATGTAGGAAAATCTTTGAACAATGCCAAGCAAATATAAATATTTTCCCAGTTACTTTAAGAAATATATATTATACCAGTCTTAATATTATGTTAATTTTTTAATTTTAAACCCACGAAAAAGATATACATTTCCACATTTTCCCTAAAAGGAAACCACTTCAATGACAAGACTTCAATCTTTTATCACCTTCGTCAATCGACAAAAAAAAATTGAATTAAGGAAAAATGCTATTAAATGCTCAATTAGCTAACTAAAAGTCAATATCAACGGCCAAATTGGTCAGGCACTTGTTAAAACTTGGCCAAAATCAAAAGCCCAACTAGTTGCATTGACAGATTGAAATTAAAAAAAAAAAAAAAAAAAAAAATACCGCAAACTGGTCATCCAAGAACTGCAACCGAAAAGATTGAAAACAAGTATTTGATTTTGTTTTTGGTTGAAAGGAAAACCAAGCACACCGTAAACAAAAAACTGACAAAAAAAATAAAAACAATTTAGTGGCAGACTTGAAAACTAAAAGTCGAAAAGCCAACTAAGCGCAGATGTAAATCAAGGAAACTCACAGACGCTCTAGCCACACACACACACACACACACTAGCCGAGAGTGACTATATAGCGTTCTTTGCAATGGCCGACATTGCGTATACGCCGAGTGAGCCAAGCCAAATCGCTACTCGAAGCGAAGGCAGCCAAGTGTGCAAAAGCAAACAGCGAGCAGGCCAAGTAACCATGGCCAAGAACATTCGCCAGACAGAGACAGAGGCAGCAGCGCTCTGAACTTGGCTTAGACTTGGGGCCCAGGCTCCGTTTTGTTTACGTTTCGCTTTTCTCTATATTTTCAGGTTTTTTTCGATACGGTTTCGGTTTCACTTCGGTTTTCCATAGGCATTTTCGATGGCATTCTGTCGCTCTTATATAGAATTATGTTTTAAGCGCTTTGCACTTGACTATTGGTCAGGCTTTCGAGCCATGTTTGCCCAGTGTCAGTGCCAGTACTGGAGCTATTTATGATACTCTGGCAAGAGACGTGACGATCGGATAGGGATTAACAATGATGATACCCGGACTTAAAGGCAACTGGTTTCGCTTTTATGCTGAGACAAAGAGTGGGGCAATTCGAGATAATCTTGCGAATTAATATTATATTGAGGAAGCTGTCGTCGCCAGATGAATTCTCCATAAATGCCATGTGCTTGGGCAATGGCAATTCTAATGCAATGTTCGGACATAATACAGGCCACGACAAACAACAGGCAGCATTAAGAAAAACACAAGTGAGGCAAAAAGGTAAAATTAAAATTGGCAATTGAAAGCGCGGTGGCCAGCAACACTGGCCACTATTAGCCGAATACTCGGACTAACGCAGACCAATGCAACCGAAAATAACAGCCACAAGCTCATTCAAAGCAAATATGAAATGTTGCCAAATCAATTGGTTGGACACGGCAAGAAATTTAACTTGTTTATTCTTTAAGAGTTTAGTTAATAATAATAACTAAAATAATGACAAAGAATATCTCATATTGCCTAGATATTATTATATTAATACTTCATCAGTTTCTAAGCACCTTAAATACTTATAGTAATCCAACAAGTGGCTTATATATATTTTTTCCTGTGCCTCTCTGTGAAGCTACAAAATGCTGAATGAGTGCGAGTTGAGTTCCTGAGTGGTTTGAAGCGGTCAGTGATAGCGACATGGAGTGGAGTGGCTTCGAGTGCGAAATCAAGTAGCCGCCATGGATGCCCGACAGCCGGGAGAGTGAGCATAAATTAACACATGCAGGCAGGCTGGCCGACCAGCGTTTGCTTAAGCTTTTTGGCCAATTCTATGTCTTGTGTGTTGGCTTGGCTCAAACAGAAACAGAAAAAGGCGCGGTAGTTGTCGATGCAGCTCAAGTGGGTCTAGAAGAAGAGTTCCCTCAGCGGCAATGCGGACTCTTTGGCAAGACCAAGCTTATGCTTGTGTGTGTGCGATTATATAACCAGATGCTGGCATTAAGGCCTTGCCAAGATCGTGCTTAGCTCTTTGGCCACTCTGCGTTGGAATTCGTAAGCCGTTGACACAGAATTTCAACGAGCAAAAGTTAACATAGTGTATTATTTTAAGGGGGCTCTCTGGGAAAGAGATTATTTAGTAAGCATAATGTATCACAATTTAAAACCATTAAAAGAAATTCCATGAATGGAGCTTAAGTGGTCCCATAAATAAGAAAATAAAACCTTTTCCTATATCGATTACATGTTCACTTTCCATTCACCGGGTTTCTCCCAGGATTTCCGATGCCCTGCAAAATTTCCCTTTCATCTCGATCCAGTTTCCTAACCTTCAGCTGGCCAGCCGGCACTTCTCTCACCCATAAAAAGCCCTCCATTCGGGGCTTGGTCCTTATCCAGGGCGAAAATCAGTTGTAAATGCTTTAATTAAGGGCCGAAATGCGATAACTTAAATGCAAAATTGCGGCGAAGGCACGTCCCGCTGGTGTCCAAGAAAACCGGTTGCTGTTGTTGCGATTTGTTTTTCGTGGGACATGCCCATAGCATTGCCCTTTGTTACGGCTAATTGGGCCTCGTCTTAATACCAATCCCAATCCCACCGAGCAGTAGGGATCCCCTGAGATACGGACGACGACACGTGATGCCAATTGTGGCGCGTACGAGGAAGTGAGCGTGGTTCGCAAGGAATGGCAATTATTTGCATAAACAAAAGTGTTTACATGGCCATAAAAGATACGGGGGAAGCGGTGTCTGAATCGAGTCTTGAATCAAGTCTTGAATCACAGGTTTTATCATTATTATTATAATTATTATATTGTGCTGCCCCCGAGGCGGCACGTTCTTAAACGAAATCTCAGCTCGATGCTGGCGCTGCAACTGTTTAGTTTTGCTCTATTGTTGCACTTGCTATTGTCCGGGTACCAGAAACGGTCTATTGAAATGGTTTATGACCACCAGCAGCACGCTTGTTGGCTTTTAGACGCTATAGCTCTAGCTGATGTTGGCCAAGAGCTGCGAAGCAGCTGCAGCTATATGGATACCGGTAATTGTGAGCGTTAATTTTAACAGGCAATTGGGAAACTCCATATACTTGAAACGTTTATTCTTTTTATTTTGTTGTCTTACTATTTTTGGGTTATTTTTATACCCTTAAGTCGGTGACGGAGTAATTTCCGACCCCATAAATCATATAAATTCTTGATCAAAATGAACAACTGAATCGATCTAGCATTCTTGTCGATGTGTTTATCATTTTAATTAAATACATATTTGAAAACACTGATATTAAAAAAATTGACTGTTTTTAACATTTTGCAGGTTATTAATTTTAGTAAGAACTTTTAAAGCATCAACAAACGCAGATGAGATTTTTGCGCTTAAATATTTAAGAAAGTTTCCGAATGAAATTGATACGATTGGCTTAATTATGTTGAAAAACACTGATTATTAAAAAATTGCCTTTTTATACCTTTTTAGGGTATTATATTAATCAGAAGCTTATAACAATGAAGGAATCATTTCCGACCTATAAATCATATATATTCTGATCAGAATGAACAGCTGAATCGATCTAGCATCTCTTGGGGAAAATAATTTTTGCATTTTTTTCCAAAAGTCAAAAAAGATAAGGGGTTACATCATTAAAATTGTCAAAATTTGGCAAAAAATTGAAATTTTTAAATTCAAAAACTGAGTATGCAGATTTGTTAGCGCTTTAAAAACTAACACAGAACAGCCTTTCAAATTGAAATTAACGCATTTTTGCCTTAATTATGATGTTTGAAAAACACTGATTATTAAAAAAATTGACTGTTTTTACACCATTTTGCAGGTTATTATAATTTTAGTAAGAATCTTTTAATAGCATCAACAAACGCAGTATGCAGATTTGTTAGCGCCTTAAATACTTTCACAGAACAGCTTTCCGAATTGAAATTGATACGATTTTGCTTAATTATGATGTTGAAAAACACTGATTATTAAAAAAATTGCCTGTTTTTATACCTTTTTAGGGTATTAGTATTAATCAGAAGCTTATAACACAATGAAGGAATCATTTCCGACCCTATAAATCATATATATTCTTGATCAGAATGAACAGCTGAATCGATCTAGCCACCTCTTGGGGGAAAATAAATTTTTGCATTTTTTTCCAAAATGTCAAAAAAGATAAGGGGTTACATCATTAAAATTGTCAAAATTTGGCAAAAATTGAAATTTTTAAATTCAAAAACTGAGTATGCAGATTTGTTAGCGCTTTAAAAACTAACACAGAACAGCTTTCAAATTAAATTAACGCATTTTTGCCTTAATTATGATGTTTGAAAAACACTGATTATTAAAAAAAATTGACTGTTTTTACACCATTTTGCAGGTTATTATAATTTTAGTAAGAACTTTTAATAGCATCAACAAACGCAGTATGCAGATTTGTTAGCGCCTTAAATACTTTCACAGAACAGCTTTCCGAATTGAAATTGATACGATTTGGCTTAATTATGATGTTGAAAAACACTGATTATTAAAAAAAATTGCCTGTTTTTATACCTTTTTTAGGGTATTAGTATTAATCAGAAGCTTATAACACAATGAAGGAATCATTTCCGACCCTATAAATCATATATATTCTTGATCAGAATGAACAGCTGAATCGATCTAGCCACTCTTGGGGGAAAATAAATTTTTGCATTTTTTTCCAAAAGTCAAAAAAAGATAAGGGGTTACATCATTAAAATTGTCAAAATTTGGCAAAAATTGAA